TATATATATATATAGATATATATATATATATATATATACACACTTTCAAAGCTCTTAGAACATATCATTTTTCTGCTGGGTACTAGGCTGAATATACTGCCCCTTGAAACCCAATGGCCTAATGAGATCATTTAACAAACATTACAAGATTTTAGGCTTTTTTCAAGACTAGAAGATTTTGTAGTAATAGCTAAGCCAACAGAGGATCAGTCCCTACAGCATCATTTTGAGTACTCTGTTGCTCTATTGTTGAATGTCTTGAACAAAGAGGAGTTCTATCAGATTTTGTATTCAGACATTGGTCACATCTCTGCATGTGAGAAAAAACTGACCTCTCCTCGCTGTTTCTGTTAAAACATTCGTGTTAGTTAAGGAGAGAAAGGACATTTTAATTTAAAAGGAAAAAGATTAAAAGCACGTAACAATTCTCACCTAATTCTTTCATATATTCATCAAAATTTTCACAAGAGGTTGATTTCCAAGTTCCCAAGAGACGATCAACCATTTTTCTGAGTCAATGGATTGCTACCTCTGGAAGGGAAAATAAACTGGCTGAAAACCCAAAGAAATCAGTGGGAGGCTTCAAATGATTTCAGAAGGCTAGGAATTAACTCCTAAGTATGTTGTCTGTTGCACAGAAAGTTGTATGTTTTTTAACATACCTGAATATGTGCTACCCAGGCAGGACTGACAGAGAAAGGTGTCTTCAAAAAAACTCTAGATACATTAGGTTGGATTCTACTTTCTTGTTATCAGGGTTGAATGTGTAAGAGCAGTCCCAGGACTGTTTTAACCTACACAGTCTGAAAGAGGCACCTTAACGGGTCTAGGGATTTAGAGAAATATTGAGTGAAGAAGCCTTAGATAGAAAGGAAATGTGATTTGGAAAAGGGATTATCTTAGGTATTTGGCATTTTAGATGTGGTACCTTAGGCGTAAAGTTTGAGAACTGCTGTTGCAGAAGAGAGGGGCAAGGGTCAAGGTAAGAGGTAGGAGAAAAAAGAGGCTGTGATCTTGAGAAACTGCATTCATACAGATGATTCAGGAAGAAATATCTGAAGGGCACAGGCAGAGGGAAGAGTTGACAGAGGGGTAAACATCAAGGGTAGAGAGAGGTACAGATAGTATTCAAAGCTCCAAAAACAAATGAGATATTTAAGGGATACACTGAAGATGGGGAAGAGGAAAGGTTTCTGTGAGGCACTTGTAGGGTGAGAAAGGAAGGACATGGAGCCCCCAGAGGTGACATTGAATGAACCATCTGAGAGGTCAGAGGAAAGCCAAGCAAATACATAGCCACAAAAGCCCCAGGAGGAGGCAGTTAGGAGTTATCCATGCTGTTTCTGGTGTCTTCACACTGCACAGCTATAGCTTCACACGATCCTGGAAGATATGGCTGGAAATGCTTAAAATAAAATGATAGGACCTGCCTGTGGCTGAACCAGTGTTTTTTGATTCAGGTTTCTTTTTCCTTGCAGCCTCCAATGGACAGGACCAACGAAACCTGTCTACCGCACCCGCGACCAAGAAGTAGGCTCACATCCCACCTGCAAACGGCAGTTGACACTCGTAACCGTCAGCCTGTCCAAGTCAGAGGGAGGGTTCAGCGGGACTGGCAAGCAGTCGCTGTTTTCCAGCCAGTCATCACCTTCTAGGTCATAATGCTGCTTGTCTTCAGACTAGGCCTGGCTGCTGAGTAGGTGAGTGGTGCAAGTGTATAGATGCAATTCGTGGAGAGAAACAAGCTGAAAATAAATGTCACATACAATTGCCTCTTGTAACACCTCAGCTTATTTACTTTATACTAAATCCTTCCTCAGTGTCAAAAAGAAGAGTCTCTTCCTGTTATTCATATATGACCACTTTTCAAACAGTTTTGTCTTACTCTCTGTCTCTAGGCCACCTGACAAAGTATATAATACCACAGTATCTGACACTCTCACTGAACCTCCAATGTACAGCACAGCCAAACAAACCTAGATGGGAAGGAAGGACTTTCACTAAAAATGCATGTCTGGGCCAGAATGGCTGAATTTTAAATTGTGCCAAAGACTTCCCTGTTTTTAACATGTTTCTTGTGTAGTGGTGGCATGCCAAAGACATCAGGGATTTCTTTTTGCTCCCCAGATTGCTGCCACTAAAACACAACCAAGTTCCCTAACATGTTATGTTTGAAAGCTGCAGCACTGATTATAATCAAGCAGGTGGCTACTATTACAGTGCTGTTTTCTTGGGAAGTACACTGAAGTTTCATTCTACCATGAAATCAGCCACTAGTGTAGCATTCTGAGTTCGCTGGAGATATATCAACTACAAATCTGGACCACCATCCTTGAGATGTACAGATGTGCGCTATTTTGGCTTGGGGAGGTATGCTGGATGGATGATCCTATTTAGTAAACAATCTGCAATACCAATACACCAGTAACCTTATGTGCGACACTGGTAGGATCTTTAAGGGGTGATAAAAAACATAACAAAATCTTAATGTATAATGAAGGATTGTTTCCTCTTGACTCTTTGAGAGGAAACATGGGAATCTAGGTTGCATTGAACCTTAATCTTTGCCATATATACCACTGTAGATATTACTGGCCAATTGTGTAGGCTAAACATGTATTAATTTCTTGTGAGTCTGCAGTGCCTTTAACTTCATTTAATCTTTCTTTCATGAAATCCTTCTCCTAAATATTTACTTAAGAAAGTAGAGCAGGATTAAAATTCTGATCTTGTGAATCAGCTGAGACTGAAGTAAATAAAAATATGATTCACACATTAAAGTCATCCAGGTTTCAGATTTTCTTTTGCTGAACAGGATTAGATGGTAGAAAAACTTTCAAAACAACAGTCTACAAAGTTTTGCCTATGGTTTCCTTCTCCCACCAATGAGATACATTCCAGAGACCTAAAGAAGTCATTCAAGACTGATTTGGAATTGAGCTTTTAAAATAAACCTAATCAGCAGTCTGAGGAGTTGGGAGGAGGTGAAAATCACAAGCTGCATATATAAACTCTATGTGTTAGTTATTTAAGATTCTCCAAAGTTAAAAATGAGGTTCTGAGATATTACAGAAATCCTCTATGAAAGCAAACCCCTCTAGAGAGAAATGTTTTTGTGCTTAGAAAAGCTTATTCGTGGTCTGTGAAGAATTTAAAAATGAGACTCAATTTGGCTGTGATAAATAAAATCCCAAGTGACTTTCCCATGCAGGATAGGACACATATAGACCCAGGATGTACATTCACGGAGAGATCTGCTGCTGTTGAAGGTAACAAAGAATGACTTACCATGTATAAACTGGACACAAAAGCAATGGCAAATGTACAGCCTTAGCTGTCCTCGAGTTAATGCAAGACTCTGTTAGAGGTAGGGTATTCAGTGTGCTCCAATCAACAGCTCCCATATACAGGTTTCTGCTGTTGTCTTTGCTGCATTGTAACTCTTAGAAGATGAATGTTAAGAGTTAGACACGTAGTATAACATCTTTCTTATGTATCTTAGATGCTTTGTGTAAAATGAGTTCTGATTAATTGGTTCTGATTGATTCCATATGTGACCACTTACTGTCCACCCTCTAAGTTACTGAGGAACAGCTACTGCATCTTGAATTCACAACCTACTTTACTCCATGCTGAATTTTCATAACAGACATAGAAACTGCCTCTCTCCTTGTGCACTATCCAGGGACCTGAGATGAAATAAGATGCTCTTTTTAACAGGTTTGCATTCTCAGGACCCAGAGTTAAGGCATTATCAGTGCTTGGTCTTGGGCTATGAAATTGGCTCCTACAGTAGATAAGAAAGCCACAAGTGGGTAATAAACTCCCTTTGAAAATCCCACCCTTATTTTCTACGATATGGTAATTACTGGCAGTGTGTGATGGTTAGCTGTAGGTTCAAAGTCTGATCTATTAAGAACCAAAACAGTGGAGTCATGATGGTGCAGACATTGGCAACTGTCTTGTTATTTGGAAAAATGATACTCAAAATTAATTTCAAATGATAACCACCAAGGCAAAGGATATATTTTGTTTTTGATATGTAAAATCTCTTTCTCCTTATAATGGCACTCTGCCACCTTACATCTCTTCCTGTACTGCTGCTTTAATCTTTTGTGTACATTGTAGCTCCAGGTGTAGGGACTCAGAAAAAAATATATACACGACAAAAAAAGGTCAGGTACAGCTGTGCTCATATAGTTTATACATAAGGAATCTCATTAGGCTTGGTTGGGGGGGGGGGGT